CTCTGCGACATGGCTGCTCCCTAAAACAAAAACCCCAAAAAAAAAAAAAAAAAAAAAAAGGCAATGGAAAACACTTCTCTAAAGAAGATATACAAATGGCCAATATAAATCACAATGTCATTAGTGACTAGAAAAATACAAATCAATATCACAATGAGATACATACCACGTGGAATGACCATAATATTTTTTTTCTCAATGTGTTTGCAAGGCATGAAAGAATTGGGATCTTCATAGATTGGTGGTGAAATGTAAAATGGTACAGCTGCTGCAAAAATAATTTTGTGGTTTCTCAAAAAGTTAAACATAGGGTGGGTTATATGTTTATATTCTACATATACCCAAGAGGACTGAGAGTATGTTCATACAAAATCTTGTCCATGAACATTTATAACAACATTATTTATAACAGACAAAAGGTAGCAATAAACCAAATATTCATCAACAGATGACTAAATAAACAAATACAGTATTATCTTTACAATAGAAAATTATTTGGCCATGAACAGCAAAGTAGGGGACTGAGGATGGGTTAATGATTATGTCACTGGATTCCCAACATAGTTAACTGTGGTTTGGATACTGGACCCCATGGCTTGAAACTCACACTGGGCATGTATGCGTGTGTGCCCAAAAACTGGAAAGGAGACCAGAGGAGAGGGTATTGCAGTGTGGCTATCCACTCTGGGGAGATGATGGCCACTTTCTGTCTCTCTGTCTCTGTGTCTCTGGCCACCACAATGAGCACTATAGCAAAAATGTAAATCTTTCTCCAAAAAAAGGAAAGTAGTATGAATATAAGCAACAACATGAATGACCTTGAAAACAAGCTAAGTTGGAGCCAACAGATGGCAGAGTGGTTAGTTAGCTGCTGGACTCCCACATGGCCAAACACAGTATGAGTCCCAGACCTGATGGCTTGCTTTTCTAATTTCCTTCTGCCCTCCTCTCTCTGTCTCTCTCTGATGAGCGCACATGCCCCATAACAAAATTAAAAATAAATAAATAAAGCTAATTAAATAATTCTTTTAAAAAAGAGGTCCTGAAAGAGTAACAGTAAGTCACTAGAGTGACTGTTAATGGTTTCTTCTGGGGGTGATGATGTATTTAAGGTTAATGGAGATGATTGCAAAATCTTGTGAATATATTAAAAGCTATTCAACAGTACAATTTAAAATGGCAAATTTTATAGTATGTGAATTATATATCAGTGAAACAATCTTTAATAAAACAAAATAGTAAATTTATTTTCACAAATACATAAAACACCTACTGAGGGATATGGACTTAGTGAAAGATAACCTAAAAGATGAAAGAGAGTTGGAACCAGCAGTTGGCGTAATGGCTATGTCGCTGGACTCCCAT